GATTCGTTGATTACAGTGATGGGTAACATTAAAAGTAATAACAATAATGAAGTGCATACTGAAGCAAAAAATATGTAACTGGTAAAGTCAAAATTTTCAGAAATTATATTATATGTATTCGTGATTTTTGTAGTTATGTGATTGATAAGCATTCGTTTAATATAAAAAAAGTCCCTATTTGATTATTGCATGCCTGCGTTTATCTCCTGAATTACATCATGTAAAATAAAATTCTTGTTAAATTGTGCATGTGATTATAGTATGATTACTTGTGATTTACACAAAGCTTATTTGATTGAATTGATTAATGCTCTTTCAATCAAATTAATTATCCACGTTTGGTGTACTAATGTTAATAGAATTTTGATTGGAAGATTATCTTATTTTGATAAGGATGACCATATTAAGTGAATGGCATACAATTATTTTTTTAAGCATTAAAAAAGTAAAGGTTAAATTAATAATTTCCTTGTTTTTTTTTTCTTAACTGACCTGTACCAAATAAAATTAAAGTAGAACAGCATTAAAAGTGGGGAACAAAATTATTTATACGCCATCTAGTCCGTATGCCCAGTACTAAGCATTTGTGATCAGCGCCATCTAGTGGATAGTTAGTATCATAAAAATGAATTGAAAGCAGAGAGACGCATCTATCTCAGTATATATTGTATAGTCTATGGTACTAAACTAAAACTACACCGCGATGTTGAGTTTGGTGGACTTTCATAAACGTAGTGGTTACATACTCTTTGGACTTTCAGTTGGGACATTTTTTTGCCACTGATTGTGTATCTAGTTCTTTATTAGTGATCGATGTATTATAACTTTTTATTTTCTTTCTTTTTTTTGATACTTTATACCTGTTTTTGTTCTATTATTCTTGTTTTGTTTAGTGTATTATATAAATATCTGTGTTTTTATTATGTATTTTTTATATACTTGTATTTGTGTGCCTATTTGTTGCATAAATGTGTTTTCTTTCTTTCTTTCTGACACTCTTACCTTGGATTCGATGACTTTGCTCCAAAAAATCTGTATATATTGTATAACTGAGTGTATAACTAACTATACCTTTGCATTTCGCAGATATAAAAGTGAACTCTGTGTATCCTGGCTATGTAGCTACTGACATGTCATCGTTCGAGGGTCCAATGACGCCAGACGAAGGAGCGGTTGCACCGCTGTACCTGGCGCTGGATGCACCAGACACCATTAAGGGAAAATATGTCTGGTACAACAAGGAAGTCGTCAACTGGGATGGTGTTATGCCCGAAGATTTATAATTTGATGCTTATGAAATACAATTTTAATTTATTTATTGTATTTTGAAACATTACACAGTAAAGCCTTTCCAATGCGTATGCTTATTTAAAAACCTAAATAATTAATTTTTCCAAAATATAATTATGTAGGTAGACACTATTTAAGTTAGTAGTTAGCTTAGTCCCTACAGATACTAAAATTCAGAAAAATCTTTCAAAGTACCAAGCATTCACGTAGAACACATCTCAGCATAAATCAATTTAAAAACAGTTTGGATATTTTTTTTGTAAACTAGAATTTAGGTACTGAGTAGCGAGGAATATGATACAGGCATATAATCTAATAGTATCCCTAACTGCCTGCAAAGGCATCTACGAATGGGCATTGGCTCCTGTTAGGCCTTTCAAAGGTAAGGGACTCTGTGGTCCCGTGAATGGTAACGAATGTTACCAGTATCTCAGATAAAGTAATAAGGCTTCATCTATATTTTTTACTTAATGTTAAGAAGTTTGACGTTTAGTATCGATATTTATTAATTGTTTAGTTACTCTATTAAATACCTACCTACATTATAGTAGGTATTTACATTTGCATTATAGTAGGTATTTATATTGAATATTGACTTAGAGATAATAAGTTCCAGATTATTACGTAGGTACCTTAGATATCTACGATTGCAATATTTACTTTAAGGAGATCATGTACGTTTCTATCTAATTCTCATATTTACAGAAAGGATAGGTACAAACTTGGCAGATATCGGTCAATGACCCGTTGTTGCTCTTGGCTGCACTATCTATGTGTGGGTTAAAAATATGTTGACTGCATTACTTTTCTTACTGATTTTTTATTAACAAGATTTTAAAAATAACCCACATGAGTGGAGATGTTTTGAATGAAGCTCGCTGGGGTCATGCCCTGTACCTAACTCTTTGTATACCTAGAAGCGAATACTTAGGTATCTCCTACTTATTGAACTTTTAAATTGTTAAACATACTGTAGCAAATTCATATAGCAATCTGCTTAATTGAAGACTAGCTAATCTCGCGCGGTTTCACCTGCTGCTCGGCTCCATTTAATCGAAGCGTGATGTTTTATAGCCTATAGCACTCAGGAACATTGTAGCTATCTATCAGTGTAAGAATTTTGGGGATCCGACCAGCGGTTCCAAAGATTACCCCTTTACAAACTTACAAACATAACTTACTTTTACCCAATGACGTATTTTTTACCTCTTTATAATATTAGTATAGATTAGTTTCTACAAAACGATGCATGGTTTGAAAATAGTGCAGCTAGCGTTGTTTTGTATAGGTCTGGTAGTGTTAATAATTCTTATACACAAACATCACGATCCCACGACATGTTTAGATGTAAGGTTGCTTAAAGATAAAGAACAAGATATTAGTATGCGTATAGCGAATTGTTGTTAATTATTTTATTTCACACGTTTCGTAGGTAGGTACATTGTTCGTATAGTGTCTAAGTTGCTTATCATCATCTGCTCTGAGGTAAACCGCTATAAATTTTATCACACCGGTTTTCACGATGAATCGCTGTTTTTGTGTGTAAACAAGTTAGTCGATTTAGCATTCAGTGTTACATCGTAAATAGAATAAGGTGGTAGTCTCGTTGAGTTTCGGGTAAAATGTCAACGAAAGTAGCAGTAGTGACGGGAGCAAATAAAGGGATTGGGTTCGCGATAGTGCGCGGGCTGTGCAAGCGGTTCCAGGGCGCCGTGTACCTGACCTCGCGGAACGAGCAGCGCGGCGCCGCGGCCGTGGCGGCACTCGAGCGCGAGGGCCTGCACCCCCGCTACCACCAGCTCGACATCACCGACACACGCAGCCTTGAAACGTTCAGAGACTACATCAAGAAGAATTACGAAGGAATCGATATTTTAGTTAACAACGCCGGCATAGCGTTCGGCAGACACGCCACAGATCCTGTAGCTGTCCAGGCGGAACAAACGTTACACGTAAATTACTTTGCTTTGGTAACAACGTGTGACATATTGTTCCCGGTTCTCAAAAATGGTGCTAGGGTTGTGAACATTTCTAGTTCTTATGCTCACTTGAGCAATATCCCCAGTCACGCTTTGAGAGATCGGCTAAAGGATGAGAAGTTAACTGTGGCGGGTTTGTCAGCTCTGATGCAAGAGTACGTGGATGCGGCTAAACAAGGCACCCATGCTGCGGACTGGGGGAACTCCTCGCTGGTGGTCGCTAAAGTTGGAGTAACGGCGTTGAGTAACATTCATCAACGCATGTACATGGATAGAGGTGGGTTGTTATTTGAGTGATAATTAACGTTAACCAGTTTTGGTAGTTTAATGTTAGCCCGAATTGCGAGTCAAGCGTACTATAACTGTACGCGGCCTCAGGCTGAAGCAGGAGATGGAGCGGGATGGATGGAGCGGGATGGATGGAGTGGTTTTTATTCGATAACAGATCGTGACATCACTATCTAATAATAAAAACAAAAGACTTATGTGAAATTTACTTAGAATTCTAATTCCAAGAATTCCAGCAGTTTACCTTTACCTACTCCTTATGCTATAGGTACCTATATACTTAGGAGACCAACAATTTTAAATAATTCATCATAAATATTTATTTCAACTCAGTATTTGATAAGATAATTTCGTAAACTAAGTAACAACGTTCTTAGCAAGACGTTGTCGAGTAACCACTAGATAAGCAGGTAGATACTTAAGATGTTTAAAGTGGACTGGTATTCAATTCACTACAACAGCAATTTGTGTTATTATAACTATCTTGAGACAAATTGTGTGGGAAAGCAATGCTTCGGTACGAACGAGTCGGCTCGAACGGAGTGATACACGGCCTTACAAAATACCGGAGTGAAATGAAATGACCCCATCGTTGTATGCGCAATGAGGCACCGCGACCTCGGCCCAGAGTAGAAGAAGGAACATGGGGTTTTTAGTCAGTAAGAGTCTGACACTAACTCGCTGTTTTGCCGTGTGAGTGAGGTTACCGGTAAAAAAAAACCAGATGTAAGAGGATATACTTAACAACGGACCCATTTATAAAATCTTAAACATATTTTTGACTACTTAATAAGGATTGGGCCTCCGGTAACCTCACTCACACGGTGAAACACGACATCTATAAATGTTGCTGCACCCCAGGGTTCTTTAAGGCCTTAGTATTATTCCGGTCGAGCTGGCACATTCGTACCGAGCAATGGCTCTTCCACACTTGCTTGATATATTTTTTTCACTTTTCAGACTTGAAAATCAACTCTGTGCATCCTGGCTTTGTGGACACTGATATGTCTTCTCACAATGGTCCAATGACCATAGACGAAGGAGCTGCCGCGCCGCTGTACGTCGCTTTAGACGCTCCGGACTCTTTAAGAGGTCAACTAGTGTGGTTTAACAAGAAAATTGTTAGTTGGGATGGTGTTAAACCCGATAGAGAATATTAATTGTAAAATACCATTTTATACCTAAATAAAACTGCAAATTATCGTTGCATTTTTACTTGTCTTTGTCCTTTTGTTTTCCAGTTTAGAAATATATTTCTAATTATATGAGTACATTGGGAGATCATAAAAAAAATTGTAGGCAATTTGGCTTGGTGGAATGCGTTCGAATGAAATGCAGCTTATGACAAACACGTCTAATCATTACAGAACTAATGTACCATTACCCTGGTCTGGATCAGGAGAAGGAACGGGGTAGTCGCTATTCAGTAAGAGTCCGACACTCCCTCTTGCCCTCCCAGGGCGAGATTGAAGAGATTTATCCCCATCAAAGAAAAAAACATGGCAAAACAGAAACAAAACAATGTCAATCTTCATAATCAATTTATTAAATCTTTCCACTGGAAGGCACTTCAAGTGTTTTACATTTCACTGGTTATTTCAGTAACACAATTAATTACAAATTAAAGTATACACTAACAGACAATTCCAATATTCTATCTATGCATAGATTTGCTTACTAGAAACACGAATCTATACTTAATATTACAAAACTGGAATTTGTTTGGTTGCGCTAACCTACGGAACTACTGGTCCGAATGTGATAAATTTTATTGTGTTGGATAATGCATTTATCGCGGAAGGCTATTAGACTATAAACAGGAGTCGAATATCGCGTAGTAGTTTTGACATGATCTCCATAAAAATGTGTCAAATTTATTTTTCTAGTAAGCAAATCTGTATGCAGAAAGGTACTGAAACTGATTATAAACCTGCATCTTCCCTAAACCTACAGTTAAAACATAGCCTTAGTAGCACGCCTACTAAATTATACTAAACATAATTTTAATTTTATCAATAAAAAATAACAAAATCACCTATTTTAATAACTTCATCACACAAACTCATTTTTATAATAACAAAACATGTTATATTCGTAAATATTTTTATAAAATTTAATTATTGTCTTATACAAATACGTTAAAAATGTTTAATTAATAAAATATTACAGCTTAATATTATTAACTATTGGAAGGAATGATTGCGTGCGCACGCGCAGAGCACCGAACAACGTACTATCTTACATACTGGCTTAGTTTATAAAATACTTTAATTAATTAGTAGTTTTGAGTCAAATTGGACTAACAGAACATAGGATTATTCAAACATACATATATTAAATCCAGCCTTTGTTATAGGCAGATATGTATATTATGCATTTGAATTTAGTAAGATTGAATAGAAAAATCGTCTTATAAGTATGTAAATAACTATTTACTCACGTGAATAATTGAGTAAAGCTCAAATAGTTTTAAGTCACAGCGGGACTCTTATTCATGAGCAGCGTGCGCGTCGCGGCGACGTCTCGCACCCAACTGCGACGTTGAGTTAATTCACGTGAGTAAGTCGATATTTTCAATTAATTTAGAATGTCTCACGATAGTTACTATTCAAAACATCTTAGTCCAATTTTTACCCAAAACTAGTGTATAGCATGAAAATATTATATTTTTTATCATATCACTTATCTCCCCTTATCTCTCCGAGCGGGTAAGTAGAGGTGCCAAATGCACATAGAATACCCACTTCTTGACATAATTCCAATATCCAAGAATGACAAAAAATTACCAAAAGTCATCAGACAGAAAAATATTGGAGACACATACGTATGTGTGTGAAAAATGTCGACGATACATTCAAGTAGTGTAATTTTTACTGTGCCACTAGAGGGCGCTTTCGTCAACTTAAGTCGTAAGTCACTTGGCCAACATACAACAAATTACACAAAAATTCTATATAGAATCCACAACCTTCTTCAATAACATCACCTTAGCGCTCAGCATTCAACAGGTAAGGTATGACATCATCGATGCTCACATCTCCTACGAAGCCGACGAAGAATACATCTTCCAGGAAGGGGCCAGAGAAGGTCCTCAGGACGGGAAGTTGGAGGAGCAGGGTGGCCAAACGGTCCTCATCCTGGACGGTGGCTCGGAGGGAACGGAGGACTTTGATCTGATAGTCTTGAAGTTTACGAGTGAGGAAGTCTGGTACACCATCTGAAAATTAGATTATTGTTGTTAATATTTTAATGGTAGGTACTCATCATTTATTTATTAAAACTTATACACAAAAATATTTTCAGGAGTAATTAATACCCTCATTTTCAGCCTATAAGTGCCCACAGCCGCGCAAAGACTCCGTCTCCCACGGATAAGGTTTGAGCATTAATCAGTATGCTTGCTCAAGGCGGATTGGCGATTTTAAACTTATCATTAGAAATTATAAGTCCAGGTTTCCTTCACCGTCTGTGGTATCTGAATGAACTTAGGAAGTACATATAACTCCGAAAAAGTCACATGGGTGGTCAGGTTTCTAACCTACTTTCTCATGCATGAGAAGCGGGCGCCTCAACCTTCGGGCCACCACGACTTAATGCCTTAGGCGTTGTCTAACAGTCAACCTTTAGCTGATGGACAGATGAGAGTGGTTGGTGACATAAATGAATGTGATAAACTATACTGATACACAAAGTATAAATAAAGAACAGAAAAGTACTATATTGCCTTTTGGGGATAGGGGTTGTGGATATAAGGATAGGAAAGGGATAGGGGAAGGGGCGGGATTGGGTCTCCGGTAACCGACTCACACAGCAAAACAACGCTGTGGTTGTTTCACGCCGGTTTTCTATGGGACCGTGGTATCACTCCGGTCGAGCTGACCCATTCGTGCCGAAGCTTGGCTCTCCCATACTTCAAATATTATATAACATTATGCAATCCTGAAATCCCCAACGACCCTGCAAAAGGGCGGTAAGACAGTTGTCCGTTGAAGCGGCGTCATTACCTGGCGAGAAGAGGCAGAGCGCGCGTAGATGCGCGTGTTCCCTCTGCTGCAGACGGAGTTGCTCCATGTGGGAGATGAACTGCTGCAGCCGGGACAGGCTGCTCGTCACCTCCGCTATGCGCTCGTCCGAGTAGTCGCTGGCTGATATCTGGCGGGTGCGGGATACATACAAATGTTTAACTGTATTTTAGAATATTAATTCGACATTTACAATAAAATATTGAAAAATAACTATACTTTTACTCATCGATAGATCGATACACTAAGTTTTAGATATTTTTTAGCTAAGCCTGATGGTAAGCAATTAGCGTCGCTAATTGACCCTCGTAGTACTAAAGGAGTTACTACAAGTGCGTTGCGGGCTTCTTGTGGGTTATTAGGAATTTAAGGATAGGGGGAGGGGGGAAGAATCACCGGGTCACTCACACGGCGAAATACAATGTAACTGTTGCTTCACGCCAGTTTTCTATGAGGTGGAACAGGCTTTGCTTTGCTGTGACAGTAAGTAGTGTTGTAAGAGAGCGCGGTACCTCGGGCACGGCCATGTCGTGCGAGGTGTCGGGCGCGTGCGTGGCGGCGCGGTCCCGCAGCACGGCCTGCAGGTGGGCCACCAGCTGCGGCAGCAGCGCGCCCAGCGACAGCTGCACCGAGTACAGCGACAGGCACAGCACGAACAGCTCCGGCCAGCACTTCTTCAGCAGGCTCACCTGCACCTCGAACCTGCGCCACGTACACATATATATCGTGCATGCGAAGCGGCCGCCTCGTCCCCTGCATGAAGCGAGCGAGAGTGTACGTACGGCAGCGCATGCGCGGCGGGCACGGCGCGCAGCCAGCGCGCGGCGGCGGCCAGCAGGCGGGCGCCGGCCTCGCACACGGCGTGCAGCCGCAGGTGCGGGGGCGCCGCGCCCGGCAGCGACACGCTCAGCTGCACCGACTCTGGCGTGCTCAGGATGCCCGCGCCGCCCGCGTCTGGAGGATTGTCAGCATGAGTAAACGAGAGAAAGACAGTGTGTCAAAGAGTGAAACGATGGAATACAATCATTATATCACCCGTGCCGATAAAGAATGGAATTAGAAATGGCGGTGCATGTATTCACTTCTCGCTCGCACATTATTTCCGTCTATACTCATACTCGTTGGTATCGACTGACAAAAAAATAACAACTTTGATTATGCGTGCGCGCCTTCAACGAAAGCCTATCTCTGCCTCTTGTATTAAAATTGTGTCTATCGCTTCTTTTTTTAAAACATTGCAAATTTTTCCTCACGTACACAATATTTTCATATATAAACTGACAAGGCATCGTTTGGATATTTATCGTTTAAAATAGTTCTCTCAGAGATTCGCGATGGGGCAAGTTATATATCGCTCGGATAGCCCGCTTTTGTAGACAAAATATTGATTCTATTCCGCAACTCGACCCCACAGCAAAATTCCGTACGACATAATGTGAAAATAGCTAAAATAGACAAGCCTTGCCGTGTTCACGTCTGTGAGCTGTTTTATCTGCCTCACTGCAAAAACAGCAGAGCTTAGTCTCCCCGAAGGCGTCTTTATGTGGGAACCCACCCCATTGAAGTTTATTGTCTAGTGTGATACCTAGGAACACTGTCTCGTTGACAAATTCTATCTTTTGCCCATTTAAAATTATGTCACAATCATTACTGCGTACGTTGGGTAAGCTAAATTTAATACATTTTGTTTTTTTGTCGTTAAGTGCTAAATTATTGACTGTAAACTAATTATGAACTAGATGAATGGAGCTGTTTACTTCGTCAAAATTAGTAGCACGTCGACCTATTTTAAAAATTAATCATCTGCAAACAGCACCATTCTTGGCTCAGTTTTAAATAGAAATGGCAAGTCATTAACATACACTAAGAAGAGAAACGGACCCAATATTGAACCCTGAGGAACGCCCATTTTTATCTCAGAGCCACGTGAGTTAGAACTCTCAGCTGCTTATCCTCTAAATATGATTTTAGTTGACGGAGTGCAGTATGTCTAATCCCGTAATGATCTAATTTCAGCAAGAGTGTTTCATGATCAACGCAATCGAAGGGTTTTGAGAGGTCGCAAAAGAAACCGAAACAGCATCCTGTGCTTCCTCTTAAGCACCGAATACTTCCTTTATCGAAGTGACACCGGCGTCAGTTGTACTATCAGTGTCATAAGTGCATGGAGGATTCCAAATCAAAATCGTTTGTACGGCGTTTCATCGCCTTAATAATATACCATGGATGACATAGATGGCGCTAGTATACTAGTGGTATTGAAAAATATACATTTGTAGTTTTTATCAGATACAAAGTTATTAACTTAATAAATTTTTATACAAATTAATGCTACGATATTCCAAACCTTTTTAAAGCAAAGCACGCAATAACCAGGATTCGAACTCGGTTGCATAAAATTTACCGATGCCACTAGCCATTAGGCCATTTCGTAACCTTGAAATGTATTGAAATTATCCTACTGTTTATTATATTGAAGTTGTTTAGCAACTATGACCCGATCATAAATCTCAAAACAGTTGAGGGTAATTTAATATTAACTGTATAAAAATTAAACCTTTTTGTTCAATCATAACATTGTTTACTATCTTTGAGTGAGTTCAGTTACGATTTGTTTAACAAGTTTTTAATATTTATTTTTATCATGAGTTTGCGTTCAAATATTGATATGGCTACGAGGGCCCAAATAATAGCATTGCATAATCAAAGCTTAAATTATACTGAAATTTCTAGAGAAACTGGCTTAAACGTAAGTATTCTTTTAAAATGACCGTTCGTTATTTATTTTATTATCAATGGTTATCGATACATGAAAATAATAAATAATACACGTCCCTTACAGGTAAAGACTGCCACTTTATGGATATCTAAAGCTGTTTCAAGATGAGGGTTCATTGGAGCACCGTAGTGGATCTGGCAGAAGACGTGATATTGACTCAGACCAGCTTTAACTTATGGGGCAAGGTTATGAGGAAAATTACTGGAGCATTGTCATCTTCAGTGATGCAAACAGTGAAAACTACATAGATGTGCTAAAAGACGTCATGAAGATGTGCTAGTAATAACGTTCGTGCAGGACAATTGTCCTATGTGTAATGTTCCATAATTGTGCAAGTGTTTAGTCAGCAATCAGACATACGGATTATTCCTTGGCCAGCAAGATAGGAGAAATAGGATCGACAAAAATGGCGGCTACACTAGTTCTTAAAAGAAAAGATATTGTTGACTATAGGATTACCTAAACAATTACAAGACCGGGGTAGCTATAATTTATTTAATGGATAAATGTTCAAACTTAGTGTTAGTAGGATAAATTTATTGACTACTTTATAACCAGCAACTGTTATACAGTAATGATTTTAATGTTTTACTAAATATGAGAAATAAAAATAAAAGCAATATTAATATCTAAAGATGCTATTGATTGCAAAATAATAAATTATTTATTTATTAATTACTAAACAATTCGTCTCATATCTAATGAATGCTATATCCCGGTCTTAGAAATGTTATTGATTTAAGGTCTAGCTTCAATTTCTTCCTTGTTCTGGAACGAATACTTAAGCTATGAGCCTTTGTCATAACACGATGCACAAAGTGAATCACTTTAGTCAATACTTTAATTAAATTTTATGGGGAGGTAAAATAGTTGCAGAAGTAAGGTTGCATATTATATAGAATCGTATTATAACATTGTATTTAAAACTAACTAATAAATGACTAGCATAACACAATTTTGATTTAAAATACTTATTAATCTTATAAAAAGTGTATTAAATAATGTGTCAGTTAGCTGAAAAGTTATTAGGTCAGGGTATACACTATATAAGAAAGAAATCAATATTATGTTTTAAGAAATAAATGACTGAAATTATAATGACACTAAAATAGTTTTATTTGTTATCCTTTATGAGAATTAAACTTAGTATTAGTCTTAATCTTCTTATTATAAAAGTTATTTATATATATTTATTAATATAATTTTATTCTAAAATAATATACATATGTATATATATATATATATATTTTGTTATCTTTTATAAATATTAAACGTCAAATATTTTATTTATATATTATTATTATTGATTTTTTATAAAAACATATAAAAAAACCATTGTTAAAAAACCTGAATTTAAAAATGATAACCCGGAACTGAACCGGTGCCCTTGGAATTCATTATTCTATCATTCTTATTTATCCGAGCTACCGATCGCATTTTTTATGATGTCGAAAATGCGGGTTAGTTTATAACTTTTATTAGTGTCTATTATTAATTATTGACGCCATCTTTTAATTTGTTTGCTTGACTTGACTTAGATGGCGCTATATTAAGTCTTCGGAAATGAGAAAATTAACATAATTTATGTGTATTTGTATATAAATATATTATTGTTTCTTAATTATTATTTTAACCATTAAAAACCTTATTGTGTGCCTCTGCAGTGTAAAGTATTCAAGCTTTGCAGGGTTATTTTCATTTAAAAGCAGCGCCATCTAGTTATCAATGGTAGCGTTATGCGAAACCTGTCAGTCAATAGTCGACCTTAAGCTCTCCATGCATTTTTGTCACCCTTAGTACAACGACCTTTAGTGAAACCGTATTGTTGGTGATGGAAGATGGCATGTTTATCAAAGTTATGAAGCATCCGAGATAGCATTAAATTTTCGAACACTTTGTTAAAAACCGGCAGAACAGACACAGGCCTATAGTTGTTTGGTTCCTTAGCGTCACCATTTTTGGATAATGGAATAACTTTACTGTATTTCATAAGGTTCGGGAAGATAACGTCATCTATACTCTTATTGAAAATCAAAGCCAGATACGGCGCTAAAGTTCGGATAAGTGATCCGCAGACTTTCACCGATAGTCTCCAAAGGTCCTCAGTTCCATCTACCACGTAATCTCATATCAACTCTTGAGCTAAGCCGGGCATCATAGCTAATTTGAAAATAAAACAAGATGTCGTAACGTAGGATTCGAGGTGTGTGTGCTCTATGCTGTATTTTGTGTCGTGGGTGTAAACATACAATTTCACATACACAACACACCCAGATCCGGAACAACAATTTGTGGATCACACAAAGAGTTGTTTCGTGCGGGAATCGAACCCGCGACACGTTGCACGGCAGCCAGTTGCCCAGCCACCGCACCAACCGTGCAGTCGAAAGTAAGTAAGTATTACATTAACTTTTCAAATAATATATACCGTCATTAGGTTGTGTTTCGGCCGCGGCATGTAGCGCTGCGAGGGGCACCTCGGGCGGAGTCGCGCCGTATGCTGACTGTAGATACTCGTTAATTGCACCTAATTAACAAATAATTTGATAAAATTAATTTATATACTGACTGGTAAGTTCGGGTTACTTTGACCCTGGGAGGTAACTTTGATCCAAATTTTCGAACCAATGAAAAACGAATATATGTTTGGTTCTCAGTTATTATTGGTTAAGGGGTTTGGATCAAAGTTACCCCGCAGGGTCAAAGTAATCCGAACTTACCCGATATATAAATTAACTAGCTAATCTAGAAGAAAGAAAGAAAGAAAAGCCATGTATTTTTGCGCAGAACACACATGAACTTAATAAAAACAAAAAAAAAAAATCTTGATCTTTTTTTTTTCATTCATTTTTCCAAATATTGTCTCGCACGGTTTCACTCGCTGCTCGGCTCCTACAGATCGTAACGTGATGTTTTATAGCCTAAAACCTTCCTCGATAAATGGACTGACGAACACGAAAACTATTACTCAATTCGCTCCAGTAGTTACGGAGATTAGCGCGTTCACACAAACAAACTAACTCTTCAGTTTAATATATATTTGAAGTATAGTTTTGAAGATTTTTAAAACAATTTAACGTGTTCCCAAGGGCCTTATAAAGAGTGAAACCGCGGGATACAACTAGCCTTATATAATTAGAGAACTCGTTTATGACATACCAAACTGTCCCATCTTGAAGAGATTCTTGGCAAGCTGTGTCTGCAGCATTAGCTGTTGTCTGCGAGCTCCCTCGATGTCACCAGCGTTGCCCGGAGTCAGGTATGGAGACACTAAACAAAGGAACAGAGAATGTCAATTTAATTAAGGTTAGTTTGTAGTTTGAATGTCTCATCATTCATTTTTGAATGGTTAGTAGGTATTTTATAAATACTGAAGTTATTGAAAAAAGTGAATTACCCAAGTTAATTTATAAGAAAAGCTCTACAGGTTTCAAGCCACCATGAAGACGTCGCTACGTCACCGCAACGCGCTCACTGCTCATGAATAATATGAGTCAACGGGACTCTCTCTCTCTCTCTCACTCTCTGTCACTTGAAACAAGTAGTTTTTCTCAGTTCAATAGTAAGGCCGCTATCCCACTAAACATTTTATTAGCCGACGAGTTGAGTCGCGTTTGCGCAGACCACTACAGACAGGGCCCTATAACTATAAGGCTGGCAATAAGGCACCGATTCTCGGCCTAAAAGGAGAAGGAACGGGGAGTTTTACTAAGTATAAGTCTGACACGCCTTCTCGACTCAACCACAGGATAGCACCGTACGCTCGGGTCTGGTTCTGGTCTGCAGATCCGCGCTTACAATGGCACTATTATGATTTATTTATCAGACCATTTTTCTTGAGGGAAAAATCGTCCAAATACCTCTTTCGCCCAAGGTGAAGCGAGAGGGAGTATCAGACTCTTACTTACTAAAATCCTCCCGTTCCTTCTACTCTTTCTTGGGGGGAATATCATCAAATGACTTCTCTCACCCAGGGTAAGGCAAGAGAGTGTCAGACTCTTACTCACTCCCTGTTCCTTCTCCTGCTTTAAGCTTGACGCCGCGGTACCTAATTGCGCTTGCCCCGGAACACCGGCTCACCATCAGCCCTATAGGGCCCCGTCTGTGATGATCTATTTGCTCTTTGAGGTGTACGGTGGGGTCTGTGTCTGATCGGGCGGCGAGCTACCCTTGCTAGGCTTACAATGGCCGGAGATCATCCCTCGATTTCCGATGCCTTCGCTAGTTTATTTATCATACCTGGATTGCCCTTGTTGAACGCTACGGCGGCCGCGAGAGCGAAGTTAATGGCCGGCGCCGGAGACACTGCGCCGAACGCATCGCTTGGTTCCTCTTTCGGGTTTATCTGTAATTAAATAAAACAGCTTGTACTACACCCGCAAGAAGGTTAAGGGTGGTTTGTGACAATATATTCAACTCAGTAGTTACCATACAAAAACCTTATATCTATAAACATAATTGTGAGTATAGATTTGGGTTAAATTCTTCGTTTCCAAAAAAAATATATATATGTAAATAGTTTATCTCAAGAGCTCAGCGTTCAAGACTGTAATCTCTATGTGAGCGAATTTTAATCAAACTTTATTTACGAGTCAGTCAGCCGTATCCTCTCTCCTTGCATCTCTTCTCAACCCCTGTGAATTTGAGCCTACCTTATCATAAGAAATAAATAAATAAACCCCTAAATTAAATCTCTGAAACCATAATCTCCAAAACGCCAACAACGTTTTCGTAACTCCTCTGGTGTTGTGTGTCTATGGGCGATGCGGATTGCTTACCATCAGGTATTCCATAAGCTCGTTTGTCGAACTACCATTCAAAAAAAAAAAACTCATCCAAGATGATCTTACCTGTCCAGCCTGTCCCTGGCCAGCTAGGCCCAGGAACTTGGAGTAGGCAGCCTGCCTATCATGGATGCCTTCCCTCTGTTCTCCTTTAGACTTGTCCACGATGGGCTTGCGCTCGTGCTGGACCGCTGTCGTAAACAGTGCAAGAATTATTGCTCATCAGAATACTTTCTATACAAATTTTTAGTATTTTTTTTATTAATTTTGATGGTGTTGTTGGTTAATTATTTTTTTATTGTCTATCTATGCTGCTGACTACGATTTTGTCCTGTGTTATGGGTGCATTTACCTACAACCAGGTTGTCCAGCCACTACGTCAACCAAATATATAAGTTTTCTACATATTCAGGCATCGATCACTAATAAAGAACTAGATACACAATCCCATACAAAAGTTCGCTTCAAAACTGTCGTCAACTGTATTTAGGTACTTATACTTGAAATAAAAATGCATTAATGTAAATTAAACCTTAAATGCAACTCATAGAGTTGTTTTTACAAAGTGATGTACAAAATCTTAATACTTTTTGCGACCGAAGCTCTTGACAAACACAAATCATAAGAAATTAAACCATATTCGCATGTTTTTAAGTCGAATTTACAAAGTGTAAAAAATAAGCAATAAAATTTAACGACTTCGGCTCACCGCTAGGACAAAGAATGATTGGAGTCGAAATGTCTCGTAAGAAATATATTTCTTTCGTATTTTATAATTTATCAAAAAAAGAAAATACGCAAATTAAAACGCATTACTTATAGTATTCTTTTCTATAGGTTTGTTCATTTATTTACCAATGAAACTAATGCATATAGTTATAATTCTTTTTTTTTATTTTCGTCCTCCTTAATCCTTTCTATTCGAAGTCAAATAAAAAAGATGTAAAATAATAAAAAGAATATATATCTAAAGTAAGTACTGAAAATGTTGGCGTTATTGTTGTCAATTTTTCATATCGAACGGGTCTTGATGAAAGCTAAAAAAAAAAATTTCTTTACTGCAGTTAAAATTAAATCCATTACATCTGCCTATTCCATATTTTAATAAACACAGTAAAGAAGTATAATATTAAATAAAAACTATATTTTAATAAAAAAAACAATAAATAAAATTAGAAACAATAGCGTCTCCACTAAACGGAACAGAATCAATCCACGTAAACCGAACAACTTAAGTGGTCATGCTAGAGAATGATTTTAAGTTTAGTATAGTTAAGTCTTTATAAACTGTGTGCATTATAACCCCGGTTTTTGAATACGATTTCATTTGGAAAAAGTTTTAAAGTTGATTTCTTAATAAAATATCAATATTTAAAATAGAATGATGACAATTATATAATGATAATATTATTACTTAACGAAAATATGAAATTCCATCCTTTTTTGCATCTTAGATGTGTGTGTTTTTGCAGTTTTTAAACGAGCACTGAGGCGTGTTTACCGTCGGAGCATTCGAGTGGTACTAAACTAAAACTACACCGCGATGTTGAGTTTGGTGGACTTTCAGTTGGGACATTTTTTTGCCACTGATTGTGTATCTAGTTCTTTATTAGTGATCGATGTATTCAGGTGATAATTATGCTTTTCATTCTTTGAAATGTTTAGCTATATTGGATTGAGAAAATTTTATAAGTGATACGATACCTATTAAAATGTGAACCATAGCCTGCTTACGGGTATAAAAATTTCTTTCAAAGGTGCTATTTTATCGTAGTGCCTGTTTCACTAGGCACTATGTACCAGATTTTGAATATAGAACAAATTTTTTATGACCTATCAGCCACAATAAATAAGTTACTTGGGTACCTATGTATATATGAAGGTCGTGAAACAAGCCCCTTTTTTGTGAGGGAAAAATCATCCAATGTCTTTCACCTAGGGTAAGGCCAGAGGGAGTATTAGACTCTTACTGACTAAAAACCCCCTTGTTCCCGCTCTTACTCTAGGCCGAGGCTGCGGTACCTTATTGCGATAGCCCGGCCCTGGCTGTGAAATCCCTGAGTGTTTTTCTTGAACATTAAAATACTGAAAATTTCCTCACAATTTCCTTGACAAAGGTATAAGTAAACATGTTCTCTCTATCTCCCTAAACATTTAAGTGCATTAATGATACTCACAGTCGCTCCTCATGCCGCAAGCGAGGCATTTCTGCAGACGACAATACTGGCACCGGTTGCGATGATGTTTGGTGACTTCACAATTCATGCTGCCGCGGCATTGGTAGCCTAGCTTCTTGCGTATTGAGCGCTTGAAAAAGCCTTTGCAGCCTGGTGGAAAAAATTAAAGGTTAATTATAAAACTGATTTAAAAAGAGTAACCACAGAGTTCCTTACATATTGTTCTGCATAGAACCTTTTACAATTTGGAATGACTCAATAGCTGACTGACCAACAGACTAATTCTTTTTATCTTTAAAAATTTGTTTAATGTTATATTATTATCTAATTGAAATCATAGATGATGGACTTCGTATTGAAAATTTAAAAATTTTGGTGGGTTTAAATTTAGTTATTTTCAGAATGCTTTTAATTTTACTCAAAGAGGCTAATACAGTACAGATAATATATTTTAGATATTAAACAGCAAGGAGGTAAAAAAGAAAAAAGTATGAGTTGTTAATATTTCATGCATAAGTGTGCAAATCATTGGTTGTGGCTTCTTGGGACTGGCATATGCTGCGCGTAAAAACCTGTTTACATAAATAAAGAGAGAGAAAAAAAGACGGAATAACTGGATAGAGAGGCGGGAAACAGTGATCAAATTAAAAATAGATGTTTTAGTGCTTTACCTTCACAGCTGATAGCACCATAGTGTCTTCCAGAGGCTCTATCTCCGCACACAATGCAAAGTTCTAGACCCCCAACTTCACTGCTGCCGCTGAACTTGAGCTCCATCTGATCCTGACCGTCCATTGCAACTATGGACAAAAATAATACACGAAGAATTAATTTATTTTCTAACTAGAGATGCTTAATTTCTTAACTTCCTTCCTATTCAATCACTCTATCTATAAAAACAACACATCAATATCCATTGCAGTTTTTAAGATAACAATACCTATTTATGGTTATGGATATAGGGTAAGAGAAAGGGACTTTGTTTTATACTATGTAGTGAAGTGATACAGTTTTAAAGACGTGAAAAAAGAGATTGCTTATGAATAATTTTTCTGTCACATGTCTATGGTCAGAACAAGTCCATTCAAAGATGATGTCTTACATCTTCCAAGAGGTTAGTGAACTAACATGGATCCTATTAGTTTGTTTCAGAGCTGTCTATTATTCATCATTAAGGGAAATTGTACAGATGAATTTATTGGACATTTGGGTCCCTAAAGTCTAAGTCATATTTTGAAATTAATATGTGTACAAATGCTGTTTTGTAGTCTATATGTAAATAAAATATTTATATAATTTATCTAATAATTGTATTTGCACTATTAACTAGTAGTAATAGGACATTCAAGCCTGAATGTAGGAAGCAATTTATTATTGTTGTTGATAAGCTATGTGTCATCTTCAAGAGGGCAATGATCTTTAGGGGCATAGCTTTTAAAGTAATTTGCAACAAACTAGCAGTCCTACATACTAATATTTTTTGGTATTATTTTAGATGAGACTAGCAATCCGTCCCGGCTTTAAGCATATACTGGGATCCTTTGGTCCACCATCGTAACTGATATTTCGTAACCAGCTACGAACATGGATTTTTTTTCTTCCTTTGATAACCAGCTACGAAAACAGAATTAATTTGTCGTTTTGGTAACCAAGTTTCGTAACCAGCTACGATACAAGATTTTTATTTCTTTTTCTGTAACTGGTTACTAATCGGGAATAATTATTCTAGGTTTGTAACCATGTAAGTGGGTAAAAAATACCTACACTGGTTAATATACTATTACAACAAATTAATATATTTTATGATTTTATTTGCCACAAATGGATACTTATTAACTATACGTAACTACTAACTATGCTAAATTACATTATAATAGAACATACCGATAATCTTTAAATTTTGAATAGACAGATATACCGACATGGTGAAATTACAAGAATCCTCTTCTCGATTTCTCGACTTCTATGAAACTTAGTAAAATAAAAATATCTAATAGGTACTAAATTAGTATAACATAAAATTAACATAAGTATGAAGTAATAATCATTTTGCTAAAATTAAAAGCAGAAAGGTGCGATAATCTCTAAACAGTGACCTACACTTATAGTGGTGTTTTCTAAGTCTTGAACGGCAGAATTTATTTCAAAATCAATTTCATATTAGATATTGTTTACTTTTATTTGACTTAGTGTTTGTACGAATCTTTGTTTCTTTAACCAAAATTTCAAGAACTTTGGCCAGAGTTGGATTTTTACGGCCCACATATCTATTTAGTCGGGCGTGCCAACCCTCTAAATGGTTTGTTGTTCTAAGCTCTTCACCAAAGCAACACCATTTTTTAATAAATTGGACGTCATTTAACCAAAAATTATTAAAATACGAGTTAAATTTCACCACTTGTGGGCATTTTGGTGCTCGTTTCATTATGTATTTATACCCTGACATGATATATTTTAGAGGTAATCGAGCCAAACCCATGCATCTTGATACATGTCTTCTTTGCACTCTTGACTTTAAACCCAATTTTTTAGCCTTCTTTAGTAAGCTGTTGCAAAAATGATAAAAACAACCTTTAATTTCAGTTTCAGGAAAAACTTTTGCAATGACATTCATTACAGGTTTTTCGTAATCCAGAGTAATTTTCACTGGATTCCATGTACGTAATCGACTCTTGAGCAAGTTAAATAATATTTCGTAGGTTTTTTGATTTTTATTGTGCAGGAATGCAAATATTAACGGAATTACTTGTTTTGTTGTTGTTTTGTAGCCATGAATGGTATAAATTTGATTAAAAGGTGGCGGGCATGACTTAAACGTCCCATCAAGTAAAAAATGTTGATTGTCCTTTAAAAGCTCATGAATGTCAGGAGGGCAAAATACCATAATTCTGGTCTCTTCATATTTGTAGTCAGCCAATAAAAAATATTCATATTTTACTGGTATTGTTACTTCTAAAGGATTTTGAAAATGCAACTTAGTCACGCCCATTTTTTTATGTCTTTCGTTGTAAAGACTACTTTTAATGTTGTTAAATTTGGGTAAGTCAGCAATTAAATCCACGCCATCATCTTGCAATTGACAAATAGTTTCTTCAAATTGTTTCTGAATTGGAACGAGATTTTCTCCAACTTTTATTTTTAAACAGTTAATTTTTTTCAAAATAATGTTTTTGGAGACATTCTTAAAGAGGATTCATGTAATTTCACCATGTCGGTATATCTGTCTATTCAAAATTTAAAGATTATCGGTATGTTCTATTATAATGTAATTTAGCATAGTTAGTAGTTACGTATAGTTAATAAGTACCCATTTGTGGCAAATAAAATCATAAAATATATTAATTTGTTGTAATAGTATATTAACCAGTGTAGGTATTTTTTACCCACTTACATGGTTACAAACCTAGAATAATTATTCCCGATTAGTAACCAGTTACAGAAAAAGAAATAAAAATCTTGTATCGTAGCTGGTTACGAAACTTGGTTACCAAAACGACAAATTAATTCTGTTTTCGTAGCTGGTTATCAAAGGAAGAAAAAAAATCCATGTTCGTAGCTGGTTACGAAAGATCAGTTACGATGGTGGACCAAAGGACTGGGATGAGATTTAAGCATACATAGGGACATAGGAATAGGGATAATCACTTTCAACTGATAATAAAATAAATTGTTACCATAACAAACTCAAACATAAGTAGAACCACATAAAACTGACTTGTTAATGACCTTTGTGGCTTGAATTCACCACAGAATTTTATGTGGTACTGGCTTACACAAGATTATGACCAACCATAAATGTTATAAGGAAGAAATGTACCTTAAAATGATTTCCGCAAAATTTGCAAGCCCTCAAGGGCAGAACTGTAAAATATGGAATCACTTTTTTATTGTGCTGACTCTTTAAGACTTGTACTCTTGATAATGTACTTATAAACTTGGGTACAGGAAGGAAATGCATGAGAAAGCATCCATGACCATACGCATCAATGCATGTGACAAAAAAAAACACAACTTTTGACTATACCTTTCACTTTTGTAAGTAATGTCGAGCGTGGTTTTTTTACATTTCTCAATATATAAATCTTAAATAGTACGCGAGAAGATGAAGGTTTTACTTATACCTCGATAAATAATTAGATCTAAACAAAGCAGAGGGCAAGCTACGGTCACTGGAGTGAAAAATCTATTCTAAGCCACAAATACAGTTAGATGCTCGATTGGCCTTACCTTGTGGTATTTTGAAGGTGCTTCTTTATTTCACATTTATTGCAACTTATACTTCAAATCTAAGTCCAAAACAGACACCATTTACGATATTTTTTGATTTTTTTCTATTTTATCATCACGAATTCCACGATATACAATGAAAATAAATAAAAAAATAATGAATGAAAATGAATGATAGAACGCATCAGAATGACAGCTTTATAGACAAGAATGCTGAGATTGATAGAAATACTTTTTCAATCTGTGGTTTTTCTTAAGCACGAGATGGCACGAGAGCAAAAAGACTTGTGTTCACGTGATAAACCTACTGTCAAAATTGTCATTCACGAAAAAAACAATACCGCGTGTGATTTTGTTGTAGTCAAAGAGGTGCTTTACATTTATTTTCATGTGGAATTTAAATAAATACGATTAATATTAACTGTGCACAAGTGGAAAGAACCATGGCGTGTCCAATACTGGAAGATATAGCTGCCAAATTCAATGGTTTCACAGAGAAACCAGTTAAATTTCTCGCTGTGCAAAGTGACCTTAAAGATGATATTAAAAATTTGGTTAAAACAATTTACGATTACACTAAAACTCAAGAAACTGTCGATAAAAAAGTAAAGAAAGCTGCGCTACCTGAGTTGATCGTTCAAGACTTCGATGAGGAGCAGGTATGGCAACAAATAGAACTTCAAAACACAGAATGTTGGGATCAGCTTGTGTGGGATGTAGCTAATTGTATGTCCAGTAAAACTAACTTAGAGTTCCCTGTCACGACTTCCAAGGAAGAAAGCGATGAGAAAAATAGTTTAGATAGCGATAAATTAATGTCTGAAGATGAGGAAATCTCAGAATCAGAGAAATCTGATCAGAATGATGAAGAAGATGAAATTAATGTAAAACCTAAGAAAAAGACAAAAACAGCTCCAAAATCAAAGGGTAAGAGTTCAATAGTTGATGATCAGTTCTTCAAACTACAAGAAATGGAGAAATTTCTATTAAATGAAGAAAGGAATGAAGGTAAGAAATCTAGAGAAGATGACAGCGATGAAGAATCTATTGATATGTTTAACGATATTGATGATGATGATGGTTCCAATGATGAAGAAGGTGGAAAAGAGGCCATGTACTCAGATTTCTTCAATCTGGATGGAGAAAATGAGGAAGACCATAATGGTGAAGTTAATGACAACGGAGAGATGAATGATGATGAAGATGATGAAGAAATGGAGGCTGAAGAAGATGATCAGTCAGATCAAGAGCCTCCGAAAACAGATACTAAGAAAAAAGTAAAGTTTGCACTTGCTGAATCGTCATCAGATGATGACGATGACTCTGTAGACAGCGACACACCTACCAACAACAACAAAATTCAACCAGACGAAAAGAAATCAGAGTTTGAACAACGGCAGCTACGTTTGAAACAACAGATAGAAAAACTAGAACAGAAAACCCTGTCTGAAGCTCCGTGGCAGTTGAAAGGTGAAGTAGACGCTTTGAAACGTCCGCAAAACTCTCTCCTTGAAGAAGTAGTAGACTTTGACCTCACTAGTAGACCACCTCCTGTAATAACGGAGCAGACCACAGTTACATTAGAAGACCTAATCATACGCAGAATTAAAGACAAAGCTTGGGATGATGTAGAGAAGAAAGAAAAGCCAGTTGATGACCAACTCTCGTTCCGTAAGAATGTAGTATTAGATCATGCCAAGAGCAAGTTAAGTTTAGCTCAGGTATATGAAGCTGAGTATTTGAAACAAAAGCAAGCTGCGTCTGGAGAAGTAGAAGAAGAGAAGGAACCAGAGGCTCACACTGAAATCCGTGACACAATGAACAAGTTATTTGCTAAGCTAGATGCTTTATGCCACTACCACTACACACCAAAGGCACCACAAGCTGAAGTGAAGATTGTCAGTAACACACCAGCAATATCAATGGAGGAAGTGGCTCCGGTAGCTACAAGTGATGCTACATTATTAGCTCCTGAAGAAGTTAAGAGGAAGCGTAAAGGAGAACTTATGAGCAAAGAGGAACGAACACAGACAGATAAGAACAGAGAAAGAAGGAAAAAGAAGAAGCTACAACGGAAGAAAGGAAAAGTGGCAAAGGTGACAGAACATCGGAATACAGAGAAGGGTACCGTAACAACTTGTCCGAAGACGTCAAAGGCATTCTTTGAGCAACTGACAAACGATTCTCGAAGTTTAATTAAGAAAAATATTGTAAAAAATAAAGGACAATAATAATAAATGTTATGTTTTCGTTGATATTTGTATACTTTTTTTGAAAATTTTTAACCCAAATGAGATTTGCGAGGTGCATGTCTCAAACAGCCCTTGTTGACGAGGATAGGAAAATCAACAGCACGATCAGTATTATTAGACACAATGTTCTAATTCATTTCGAGCTATTTTAGGTACCAGAGACCTTAAATAGTTTCAAAAAAACAGATTTTTACCTAATCTTTTTTTTTTATTTAGGCGAGGAATCGAGAGAAGTTTTAGGAAGAGGAAAAGATAACTTATGCTATTGTATTTTTCAAAATTAATACTTGATTCGCTCGTTGCGGCAAAGTTAATTATAACGAACAGAGCAAGGTATATTCATACTTTAGTTGAAGATAATATAACATGTGTAAATTCCCAGTCAATAAGACGGAATTCCTCACCTCTTCACTAACTATATAACTACCTGTGATAAAAACATGAATCATAGTGTGATTCATATGTTTATTATATTCACATGATTATAAGACTATTCTATGTAATTGCAAAAGCAATCATTAACAAAATAAATTGAAAAAACAAAGGACAAAACAAACTTTAGCATAAACCGAAACACCCACAAAGTACGGCAAAATTAAAAATATGAAGTTCCTACAAAAAAAATCATAGCAATTTGTAGTAAGCTCAACTGTGGTCGCAGTCACAATATTAGGCGCTTATCAGTAACGGGAACTGTTGTTGCCGAGTTGAACGCATTGAAGTTACTTTCATTGAAATATTTTTTATTTTACTACAACTTTTTTACTGAAACACTTCATTTATGCGTTTTCGAGTGTGGGAGAAGGGCCAAAGTGCAGTAAGAGACTGTCGCAGGCTGCTGGAGACGTTGAAAGTAAATAAATTAAAAATGAACTAGAATTAAATTTCCTTTTTACATCAATCAGGATAATAGTAACTTAGAACATTCTAAATTATGTAAATATTTGGAAGTATTTGGTTGCATACTTTATTTCTGGCTAAGCACCAGCTGTCGTGCAACGTGTCGCGCTTTGATTCCCGCACGGAACAACTGCATGATCCTCAAATTGTCGTTCGGGTCGTGGTGTGAAAAGTCTTTGTGAAATTTTATATTTGTCAACAGAAGAAAATCTTAGTGTGGGGCAAGGTTTTTCAAAAAAGGACTCTTTTACTAAAGAGTCTTAAATACCTTTCTGAAAAAACAATACTCCAAGCTATCTATAACTAGGTACCTATCCCAACCACAGAAGCAAGTGTGCTTAGGCATTTAACATTTTGTAGTCTAAATGTAAAAAGTAACGGGCGCGCGTTATGTAACATTCAGTCGACGGCTAAATGCAATAGCTGGCGTGAAGGTACGAAGCGATGTCTGTACTTTGTACTGTTAGACGTCACAAAGAATTGTTGGTAATTCGATTAGCTATAACAATAGATGTTGTTTTTTATGGGTTAGGTATGCAAACTAGTATATGGAATACCTAATTGTAAGCAATCAGCGCCGCTCATAGACACCTGCAGCAACTAAGGAGTTAAAAGAGCGTTACCGGCCTTTTGGGGATTTAGGGTTTGAGTTATAGGGGTTGGTGAAAAAGGATTGGGCCTTCGGTAGTCTCAGTCACACGGTGACTGCTTCTGCACGAATGGGTCGGCTCAATCGGAGTCATACCACTGCCTCACAGAAAACCGGCGCGAAACAATCACAGCGTTATGTTCGCCATGTGAACGAGGTTACCGGAGGCCCAATCCATCCTCAATCCCTAAATCTCCAAAACGTCGAAAACGCACTCGTAACTCCCCCATTGTTGCAGGTGTCCCTGGGCGGCGCTGATTGCTTTCCGTCAAGCAAAGAGTACGCTGTAGCCGTCCTATCTCATAAAAAATGTCTCAAGATAGTTTTCATTATTCAAAACAGTCCTAGTTTTTAATTTTAAGTTCCAAGATGCCTTATCCACTTGGTTATTTTCCTTCACGGCTCAGCCTCCATTCTGATTCGTCTCGGCCCATATCGCTACGTTTTTCCTCTGCTAATTACTACCACTGTGCAGTTACGAGTTGGAGTTTGTTCCCAAAAGCCAACGCAGTTTGGAAATGTCATTGTGGTAGCTATATCTATATGTGTGTAGTAAGTTTATATATCTATATGTTCCTATGTTATCTTGTTCGCTGAGAAAGGACTTGTCTGTAGGAAATATTACTTAATACTTTTATGGAGAAGTGATTCATCGCAGCTAAAACTGGATATAAAACAAATACTGTAGTTTCCAACTAGGTAGTCAAATTCAATACTTTTATCCAAATGTCAAAAACGATAGGTTTCTATGAAGTACCTATGTAAAGTTAAGTTGTGGCGTCATAGTATTTTTGCGTCAAATAGCATACTTATTTCTTAACAATTAGCTGCAAAATATATCTTAAACTTAGTGTATCGATCGATCGACGAATAAAAGTAATAGGTAGGGTTATTTTTCAAAAATTATTGTATTGAAACGTCGAATGATGTTATAAAAAATGTTGTTGTTGTTACAAAAAAAGCCATGAGTATAAATGTAGATGGATTGAGAGGGAGAGGGAGACCAAAGAAAATATGGATGGATTGTGTGAGAAGTGATATGGAAGACAGAGGAGTTAGAGATAGCGTGAGGAGTGACAGGACAGAATGGAAGAAAAAAACATATTGCGCCGACCCCAAATAAAACGGGAGAAGGGCAGGAAGATGATGATTGAAACGTCGAATTAATTTATTTTTGACATAGGAAACTACCCAATTTTAATATTGAAATTTAGGTGATCTATGCTCATTTCTGGGCCGTGGGTGAAGAGGCATTATTTATTAGACATTACACAACCATTTTAATCCTAAGTAGGTAGATCTACATACAGTGGGTATTCATTATTGCCACTTATTTGTGTGAAAAACACTGAAACTGCTTGTTTCAGTGTTTTTCCGTTCTATTTATACTGACTCTGAAAATGAAACATATTTTGATGATTAGAAATAGCTTTCTGTAATCAGTTTCATCGAATAAATAAACTTGTTTGTTTCGTTTTGTGTAACAGTACCTACAACTATAGCATATAACCAATTGTAAATATCGTGGCTGGATAAATAACAATTTTACACTGGAAACAAATATTTAAATAATATTCAAATCAAAATCCTAAATCCTTATTATATATCTAAAGATACCAAACATGGTAGACTGGATGAGCATCCTTCAGGCTTTAAGTTCGCCTGTGACGCTAAATACCAAATTTGTATTGGAGACATTAAAGTGAAAAAACAAGTAGATGTGTGTTATAAATTTTTCAAGGTATTTAATCGCGCCACAAGATTAGTCTAGATTAGTCAGGATAGGAGATTTGTACAACGAGTAAATCCTTCATTCCCATTTAAAAAAAATGCTTAAGTAGACTTCTTTCAAAGGCTATAAGTCTGCCAGTCCCCCTGTATTCGGCAGTTGCCGTCTACAGTAGGTATCATCCTTCTGAATTAAATGTCGACGCATATATGTATGTTAATATAAATGGGTTTAATAAACTAAACTGCTGCGGATGATAGTCACAATGAGGACGGAATTCAGAAGTCCAACTCCACATGAAGTTGTGTGTTGACAAGGGAGTGAGGCTACCGAAGACTCGAGCTCCATTATGGTGTATGGATTTATGTAGTAAACTAAAGGTACACAATCTTGGTATGTCTTTTTATATTATATTAAAGAGGTCGTATAAAATACATAGGTACAAATATTTATATATGTATATACTTTAGCAACGTCTAACGTCGAAGTCAACAGTCAAAGTCAAATCATTTATTTCAAAGATCTCTGTAGGCACTTTTTAAAATTAAACAAAAAAAAAAAACTGTAACGTTTACTTAATGCGTTTTAGTCTGTCGGTCTGGCCTCTAGCGAAGCTACTTGCTCAGTTGAGATTTGAATTAGTAGATTTCAATGGCGAAAAAAGAGCATGGTTACTTACTCTTTTTCAGTCAATTTCAGAATTCATTTTCGTTCGATACATCATTTAGGTGTAATCTATTAACGGTAAATACGTGATTGTAAACAGTTTTACACAATATTTTTAGACAAAGTTTAAATAAAAGGCCATACCTACCAAGATTGTTTGTTGTGATAAACCATAAAAGGCTGGCAATGCAAGTCTCTTTGGTGTTGCGCGTGTCTATGGGTGACATTGCTTATCATCATGTGATACGCGTGTTCATCCTCAAATTTTGTTATTTTAGAATTTAATATAAGTTAGCAAATGTTCCACTGCTAAGGAAAAGCGTAACATCATACTTGCCCAAAGGCAAAAGGCTTGGAAGGAGATGGGGATTTCAATATGATTTGATTGTCCAGGTTTCTTTACGATGTTTTCCTTCTCTGATTGTCACTGGTGTTAAAATAACCGACTCGACGGAGAGGGATTGAGGAGGGACTTTGGGAGGGGAAGGATTGAGCCTCCGGTAACCTCACTCACACGGCGAAACACAACACTGTGGCGTGCGAACACAAACATATGTACACCACGAGCAATGTATGACGAACCGCACATCGCACCGCACAACCCGTAAACGAGGCCTAAGTGTGTGTTGAAAATCATAACATTGCCAAACGTCTAAGTTGTATAACCTCTCTAGATGTAACAAGCGTAACTTGTAAAAAAATGAACCTTTTGCATTTCATCATATATTGGAAATATTGCGACGCGACTGCGACGGCGTTGCGACTGCGCTGCGACCGCGACGTGAGTGCGACTGTGCGATTTAATCCCGCAACAGCGGCAGTCGGTCACAAATTTATAATTTGTACAATTACCAGCGCCCCCGAGACTTGGGGAGTATAGAGTTTGAAAGTATAGAGAAGCCACGATAATCTTTCATAATTTTTTTGTGGTGTTTTTTAAAGGATTTTATGAGTTGTGCGTATTAGGTCAAGGTTGTTATTTGTTTGTTTGTTTTTAAGTTACTTCTCTCTATTAAATTTGATGTAATGAATTTTATGATAAACTTTAAATTTGAGTATAG